AAAAATCTGATAATTTCATGTGTAGGCGAAAAATCAGCATGTCAGCTCAGTAGGCCACTTTTCAGGAAGCTCCGTAAATTTGATTTGCATCGCATACCTACCTTAATCCTACTGCAAGGTGCTGTAAACTATAGATTCCCTACAATAGAAAATAAGCTGTAGTTGAGCTTTTTTTAGCCCTCTGGCGATACGTTTCCAAAATAAACCAAGGATGTTATACCGTGAAAGGAGACTTCTACTTTTAAATGATACTCAGTGTGCTGCCAAAACATCCAGTTTCTTAGAACAGTTAAAAGACGGCACAAACTTGTCCAACAACCCAATATAACGCTGAATAAATTAATCAAACTAAAAAAAGGAAACGCTTCGCGAAAATTTGACTTTTTCAATTGTCATCTATGATAACTTTAGGCAATAGACAATAAATTAAGTTGAAAAGCTTGTTCAGTTTGCAACAGTCCATTGCTTAGACTCCAAACTGGCATACAAATCCTCTCATAGAGACAAACATTCATTTCTTTTGTAAAGGTTCTGGCTGCTATTTGTTGCATAAACGAGTACAGGTCGTCGGATAAGGTCGTGAAATTTTTTCATACCTAAAAGGCGCTGTAAGGCGGAAAATGATGGTAACGCACTATATATCGATTAAAAGGAAAACTCTATAAGATACTGCATCTGGGTAATCGATGGATTTTGGTTATGCTAGTTTAAGAATAGTGAATCAATTTTTGGGACGAAGAAAAGCCCAACCAACATAATTTTTTTATAGGGAGGAGTTTAGAGTCGATGACGTGCTGATGAGAAATATCGTATCATTTCCCGGTCATAGGTCTCTACTGTAGGATTGCATATGTATACGCTGTAGGGGTCAAAATCATCTATTTTTTTGAAGTGTGGTATGATGTGCTATTCACATGCTGATCACTAGACGTCCATTCCCCATGGCTAACTTTCATCTCTTCGTTACCTCCAAGTTTTGCTACTATCATCACATCTACTTTAATGCGGTCATTGTAATTTTTTTGTACTGTCTCTAATGTGTTTCAAGCATTACTGGCTAAGTTGACTCTTTGCGCCCTGCCCGCGTTGTTTTCTAACAAAATTAATTTAGCATCTTAAGTGTGTACCATAAAGATTAACATAAAAATGAGAATAATTCTCTATTAAGCAGATCCGTCATGTCGACCCCTATCGTATGCATACCCTAACCCAGCAGCAAGGACTTATTCTGCGATGTACGTAGAATGCTCAAAGCCAGCATATTAATTAACTGCAGTAGATCACTTTTCAGCTGTTTCAGTTATTTTGATTTCTACAACGATTATCCGCCGTCATTTGGCAGTGAGATCTCATACCGGTGGAACAGTTATTGCAGTCAGTAAATTTAATTATCCTATGGGCAGCTTCATAACAAAGTCCGAGTTATACCAAAGAAGTTAAGCTACCGAATGGATTTTTTTCGGTGTCTACAAATTCAATTTCGAGCATACCTAATCTAAAATAAGACCAAGGTCATGTTAGCAAAGTGCACTGCTTCATGAAAAAGGAGTTCTAAAATCAATGATGTATGATATTGATATTGTAAGGGTTTTTGATTTTAGAAACTTTCTTAAAATATGAAAAAAAGCACGAATTAATCCGACAAACCAGTACTCACAGAAACAAAGGTGGGCTTATGCATATGATCAACTCAGAATTGTTGCACCAAAGATAAGCTTGTTGTAAAAATAAATCTTGGGAATGCAACAGCTAACCCAGAGTTACAGTACTTAAACTGCGCTGCAGATTAAATCGCTAATCAATGTGGACTGAAGCATTAATTTAGGTAAGATGAAAGAAGACATAGTGGGAAATTTGTTACGTTAAATCAAAAAAGTTTTAGCATTCTCAATGTAGTATCAATTGCAGGAAAATTCGTACTATATTAAGCGAGGAAAAACCAAAAAAAAATCGTTAAACAGAATGACTAAGTGTTATTGTGCAAAATCACGATTGAAAATCACTCTGTGTGCATCCTTAGGTTTTTCTTTGCTTACTCTTTCCGTAACATATATAACATTAAACATTAAAGCATCATCATAATACTTTATGGTGTAAAAATCCAATAAACAAAACGAAGACCGAACTTCGCCAGTTTTTTT